GAGGGCCTTTACCTCAACCTTGCCACACACAAACACAAAAAATGTTGGGGATCAGAATAAAGGTTGACAGCAAAGAGTAGTCTGCAGGTGCTTCAGCCAAAAGAGAACGGTTACACAATATAATAGGCAGAAGACAAAAGGAAAAAGAAAGTTCAATGAATGTTAGAAAAATGTTGGAATGAAATTATATGGCTTTAGTAGAAATGTTATAAGGAATTAAGTATAAATAGATTAATAGAGTATTAAAGGAAAAAATAAGGTTAGAATGTGTTAAGATAATTATAGGATAGAAAACAGAGGAAGATGGAAAGGAATTGCTGAAACAATTAACAGAAGTGGAATACAAAAAGGGAGGTGTGAGGAGGTCGTGGAAATAAGTGAATGAAAGATAAGATATTGAAATTGTTTGATTTATTTTAAACTGTTTTTGTTTTGTTTTGTTAGTTTAATGTGTTTAATGTGTCAATGTTATGTAGTGTTTTTGTATTGTATTGTATTGTACTGTATTGTATTGTTTTTGTAGTGTTTAAATTGTTGGAAAAGTAATAAATATTAATTTTATTAAAAAAACAAAAGGAAAAAGAAAGAGCGTGGAGAGAATCTGAGGCCAGAGGCTATCACTTTACAAAGGATCAGACAGTACTGGTAATCCACTGGTGGAATCTGCTCTGGGACCAAGGAGCCCACTGATACTTGGACCCAGTGCTTTTTTTCTTAATATTTTTTTTTATGGATACTCTCATTTTGACTCAAAAATATCACCATTTTATAGTTCAAATCAGGAAAAATGAATACAGTAAATGGACAAAAGGACAAAGAACATGCATTACGCATGTTGAAATACTGCACCTCAATGAGGCCAAACTTTCATCAGTAAAACACCACACATCCACATTCCACGCTGCTTCACACATTAAACGCTCACTTCCGTCTGAGACTCAAGAAACAACAGGAAAGGAAAGGAAGCCGCCATCAGAGGTGGTAACAAGGAAACTGACCAATCACCATGCTAGATTCCAACTCCTGCTTCACACATTAAACGCTCGCTTCTGTCTGAGACTCTAGAAACACCATGACAGGAAACAAGGCTGCCATCGGGGGTAGCAACAGAACTGATGATTCACCATGCTAGAGAATAAACTACATATATATATATAAATAGTTTCTTCTCCTGTTAGATTCACAAAATGTTTAGGGGTTTGCATACCCCAGCGTACCCCAGCATACCCCCAGAAAAAAAGCACTGCTTGGACCTATCAAAGTGTCAATGGAGAAGACCTCATTGTCTCTTCCTCCTCTTCTCACAGAGGCTGCATGGGATGGCCTGTTGGTGTCAGACTGGACAGTTGGGTGGCATAACCCAGTAATGCAAGAATATTTTTTCCAATAGTGTACCATTACCAGTTCATTTCTAAGCTCCATTTAAAGTGCTTGTGTTAACCTTTAAAGCCCTAAATGGCTTGGGCCTTGGTTCTCTAGGCAATTACTTCCACCTGTTTGATCCTGGCAATAAATTAAATTCTGATTCAGAGGTTTATGCACTCACCAGTAGGACTGGTTAGGACGACAAGGGTGAGCCTGTCGAGGTATCATGTGAATTTACTGCCTGTTTTAGTTAATATGTTGTTGCCGCCTTATGTAAAAACCAGGGCGAATCCTAGGGAAAGAGAAAAGTGTGGACTTATCAAGCTGCTGAGAAGGCATTCTAGGATGTTGAGTCCTGGTTTTGGAGAACAGGAATTGTTCTCTAAGAAAAATAAAAGATTTTTTTTTTACATCTTCCTCAAGTGTAGTGTAACACAAGTGACAAGGCCTTCCCGGTGGTGGTACCACAACTATGGAACTCCCTTACAACTCGTTCTTTCAGTTCTGTTTCAATAAGGTTATCATAATGATGTCTGAAAATGTGGTATCAGGCATAAGCATTTCCAACCTCAAAATGACATTTATTGGCATTCAAATAGAAATGTTAACAGGAGCCTTCAAGCGTTAGACTTTGTGGCCAGGCTCACACAAACATGGATATCCCTTGATTTCGCTGGTGTTATTTTTGTGTATTTGTGACCACAAATGCATGTGTTCTTCACTAAATGACAGCAGCACCACTAACACTGCAGATGGATCTACCTTGCCTTAAACTGTGCTCTTCGGTGGAGTCAGTTCACACAGCCTGCTGTGAGTTAAACACATAAGGTGTCCAATAAATAGTCGGTGAGAAATCATGTGATACACCTGCATGTTGTGAACCCAGCCTTGAGGACTGGCAACTGACTACAGTGGTACCTTGATTCTCAAACGCCTCAGTATTCAAACAACTTGGAACCCAAACACTGCAAACCTGAAGTAAGTGTTCCGGTTTGCAAACTTTTATTGGAAGTCGAACGTGCTCCATTTTGAGTGTTATGCTTCCGATTTGAGTGCCACACTTCTGTTTTGAGTGTTGCACTGAGGTCTGTCTGGTTTTGCTATTTATTTTGCATTTTTGTTTTTGCGGCTCTTTTTGTTTTGTTTTTGTGACTGCGTGGAACCCAGTTCAGCTACTGATTGATTGATTGATTGTGTGACTGCAGTACATTGTTTATTGCTTTCATTTTATGGATCAATGGTCTCATTAGATAGTAAAATTCATGTTACATTGCTGTTTTGGGGGTTGTTTTTAAAAGTCTGGAACGGATTAATCCGTTTTGCATTACTTTCTATGGGAAAGCGCGCCTTGGTTTTGGAACGCTTTGGTTTTGGAACGGATTAAGTTTGAGAACCAAGGTACCACTGTATGTGGTTTTATATAAATATGGGGGTTGACTTCTGCAAAGCACTGAATTTGTTTTGTGTTTTAAATGATATTTATTAAAGTTTCAAAAGAAGAAAAATCACATTAATAAAAAAAATTAACAATAAAAAGGAAAAATACAAAGTAGAAAAAAGAAAAAACAGTTAAAAACAATTCCATCTTTTCTTCACTTCTTTTACGTTTACTTGTTTCCTGGACCTCCTCATACCTCCCTCTTTTGTATTCCAATTCAATTTGTTAATCCAACAATTCCTTTCCCTCCTTTTTAATCCTAATCTTTAATCTTGATATATTATAACATTAAATTTTTACATATTGAAAACCAATTTTTCCATATTCTTTTGTACCTATACCACTAGAAACCACTTAACTTCAATCCAACATCATTCTAACATTCATTAATTTTACAGTATTTCTGCAAGTAGTCTTTAAATTTCTTCCAATCTTCTTCCACCGACTCTTCTCCCTGGTCTCGGATTCTGCCAGTCATTTCTGCCAATTCCATATAGTCCATCACCTTCATCTGCCATTCTTCCAAAGTGGGTAGATCTTGTGTCTTCCAATACTTTGCAATTAGTATTCTTGCTGCTGTTGTGGCATACATAAAGAAAGTTCTATCCTTCTTTGGCACCAATTGGCCGACTATGCCCAGGAGAAAGGCCTCTGGTTTCTTCAAGAAGGTATATTTAAATACCTTTTTCAATTCTATATTTCAAAGCACTGAATTTGAGGTGCTCTGCAATGATCTGAAAGTTCTTTCAGTTATGTTATATCCGACTTGTTAGCACATGCAAGCCACCGCTGATTGTTGTTTTGCTAATGTTGTTTTCTAGATTTGCTAAACGTTTAAAAGATTTATGCTGGAACAGTGAGGTTTCCCTTATTTTGTTAAGTTGCTGGTTTGCTAATATTGGTTTATAGATTGCAATTGTTTTACTCATGGCCGGACCAAGATGTTTTGGCACCCGAAGCAAACCACAGGCTTGTTGGACAATAGTTCCCATCATACGTGACTGTTGACCATACTGGCAGAGGCTGGTGTATTTTGAGATCAACAATTTCTGGAAGAATGTGTGTGGACAGGTTGCCTATTCCAGGAATAGGTGGACTGGGTTCAGGATTGGGAAGGTGCAATCCTGCTGCCAAATCATGTATGGATTCTACCTGATTTTTAGGCAAAGCAAATGAATAGAGCTTTGCTTTGCCTAATGGGACGCTAATTTATAAGTTGAAAAAAAAATATGAATCCATCATCTATTTGCACCTCCAGATTCTGGTAACTTAGAAATAAGTGCCTATAAAGACTTGCTCAACTTTGTTAATAATGTTTGAATCAAGTCATTCTTCATTTTCTATAAAAACTAAACAAGCTAGAAGTAATTCAGTAATTTATTTTAACAAGTACTAATGAATAAAGTAAATGTGTAATTTCCAATAAATTACACTGTTGTGGTGTGAAAATGAGGCACTCCAAAACACATTAAAATGTGTCACCTTTATTTTTTATAGTATATCCTTTAGAAGAGACATTAAACTATGTTTATTTTATCCCCTAGTACGGGACAGAAACTTGTAGAATATTTTTCCCTCTCAGGGAAACCTTGTAAAAAGCTCTCCCCTGAAAGAAAATGGGATCTTGTGGTGCTCTCGTTCATTTTAGCCATGATTGAAAATCAGGATTATGCCTCATGAGGGGAATTTAGTCAGGTGGATCAGGTTCACTGCTGCAGATGGTCACCACCCAGACCCCGTAATGGCCTTGAGCTGCGTAGGGCTAGCATGTTCATCCCCTCCACCACATGCTCATTTAACCCAGAAGACTAATGTCAGAATGGTGCAAAAGTGGTACCTTGGGTTACATACATTTCAGGTTACATATGCTTCAGGTTACAGACTCTGCTAACCCAGAAATAGTGCTTTAGGTTAAGAACTTTGCTTCAGGATAAGAACAGAAATTGTGCTCCGGTGGTGCGGCGGCAGCAGGAGGCCCCATTAGCTAAAGTGGTGCTTCAAGTTAAGAACAGTTTCAGGTTAAGAACGGACCTCTGAAATGAATTAAGTACTTAACCCGAGGTACCACTATAATTAGGACTGAGGGATTAAATTGAAGGATTTGTGGAAGCGGCAAGTTGCTTTGGTGATTTCATAGAATCACAGAACTGTAGACCATGAAGGATCTTGTAGCCCGACCCCTTGCAACGCAGGAATCTTTTGCCCAACGTGGGATTCGAACCCACAGCGCTAAGGTTAAGAGTCTCTTGCTCTACCGGCTGAGCTATGATGTCTGAAGAAATCAGAGATGGTACTACGCAGAATTCATCATGCGAAAGGCTGGGCTGGATGAATCCCTAGCCGGAATTAAGATTGCCGGAAGAAATATCAACAACCTCAGATATGCAGATGACACAACCTTGATGGCAGAAAGTGAGGAGGAATTAAAGAACCTTTTAATGAGGGTGAGAAAGGAGAGTGCAAAATATGGTCTTGAAGCTCAACATCAAAAAAACTAAGATCATGGCAACTGGTCCCATCACCTCCTAGCAAATAGAAGGGGAAGAAATTGAGGCAGTGAGAGATTTTACTTTCTTGGGCTCCATGATCACTGCAGATGGTGACAGCAGCCACGAAATTAAAAGACGCCCGCTTCTTGGGAGAAAGTCAATGACAAACCTAGACAGCATCTTAAAAGGTAGAGACATCACCTTGCTAACAAAGGTCCGTATAGTAAAAGCTATGGTTTTCCCAGTAGTGATGTATGGAAGTTAAAGCTGGACCATAAAGAAGGCTGATCACCAAAGAACTGATGCTTTTGAATTATGGTGCTGGAGGAAACTCTTGAGAGTCCCATGGACTGCAAGAAGATCAAACCTCTCCATTCTGAAGGAAATCAGCCCTGAGTGCTCACTGGAAGGACAGATCCTGAAGCTGAGGCTCCAATACTTTGGCCACCTCATGAGAAGAGAAGACTCCTTGAAAAAGACCCTGATGTTGGGAAAGATGGAGGGCACAAGGAGAAGGGGACGACAGAGGACGAGATGGTTGGATAGTGTTCGCGAAGCTACCAGCATGAGTTTGACCAAACTGCGGGAGGCAGTGGAAGACAGGAGTGCCTGGCGTGCTCTGGTCCAGGGGGACATGAAGAGTCGGACACAACTAAACGACTAAACAACAACAACTACTGAGATCTGCCGAGAGGAGTTCCAGGCATAGCAAGTAACATGGGAGCATGGGCAGAGCCTTTGAAATGAACATGAGATCTTCTGGAGGTTTAAGGTGGTAGAATCAGAAGACCAGAGAGGAGAGTTCATTAGACTGCAGCTCAGTTTTTCAAGCCAGAGATGATTGATAATGCATCTTATGCTTTATTGTTGCTTGGTTACACAGGAGGAATAATTTCAGCGTGATCCAGGTTTTTGGGGTTTCGTTTTTTACCTATGGAATTTCAATCAATATCTTTTGATCTTTTGTAATAAGATTCCTATAGATTTCAGAAGTCCCCGATAAGCACAAATGATAAATTTTTTCAAGACGCAGTGGATCTGTCGGCTTCGCTGGGTTGTGAATTAGGCCGCTTATTATGAACATCTCAACGATGGGAGGATTTGTGCCCCAAATTACTACACGGGGGGTTGCGCCGGATGTTCGGGAACCCATCCCTTCCCCCCTCTCCCACCCGCATAAGGGCTTGAGTTAAGTTATTGCAACTCCTCAGATATACAAAGCCCCCGGGAGAATAAATATCGCACTGAATATTGACAGGGTTAGTGCTATATTAGCTGTGCCACAAACTGTGAAATAAATGGCCATGATGGATGTGAAATATTTATTGCTTTGCTACAAAGCAAATCTGAATTTGCATCCGGAAATGATCCAGCCAGAAGGAATCCAAAGCTGACTGGCCTGTTAGTCTGAGAGCACAGCAAAGTACAGTACTGGAAGAGGTTAGATGCCAAATTGTGAAACAAAGGGGTATTTCTTAGAGACTATACAATGCTGTAAAAAGGTAAAGGGACCCCTGACCATTAGGTTCAGTCGTGGCCGACTCTGGGGTTGCGGCGCTCATGTCGCTTTATTGGCCGAGGGAGCCAGCGTACAGCTTCCGGGTCATGTGGCCAGCATGACTAAGCCACTTCTGGTGAACCAGAGCAGCGCACGGAAACGCCGTTTACCTTCTCACCGGAGCGGTACCTATTTATCTACTTGCACTTTGACATGCTTTCAAACTGCTAGGTGGGCAGGAGCAGGGACCGAGCAACGGGAGCTCACCCCGTCGCGGGGATTCGCACTGCCAACCTTCTGAGTGGCAAGTCCTAGGCTCTGTGGTTTAACCCACAGCACCACCCATGTTCCTATATACAATGCTGTAGCCACACTTAATTGCATGCCATCTTCACAAAAACCCTGTGAGATGGGTCAAGCTGAGTGGCCCAAGATGAAGGCTAACTGCAGATTTGAACTGGGGTCTCTCCATCCTAGTCCAGCATCCTTGCCAACACCAGTTTGGGCTCTTTGTCGAAACTGCATCACTTCAGATTGCAGGTGCGGCTCACATGATTACATTCCTGTGGATACAGTGGTACCTCTGGATGCGAACAGGATCCATTCCAGAGCCCCGTTCGCATCCTGAAGCAAACACAACCTGCGTCTGCGCGTGCGTGGGTCACGATTTGCCGCTTCCGCACATGTACGTGACGTCATTTTGAGCGTCTGCGCATGCGCAAGCAGCGAAACCCGGAAGTAACACGCTCCGTTACTTCCGGGTCGCCACGGAGCACAACCCAAAAATGCTCAACCCGAAGCTACTTCAACCCGAGGGATGACTGTACAGTGGTACCTCGGGTTAAGTACTTAATTCGTTCCAGAGGTCCGTATTTAACCTGAAACTGATCTTAACCTGAAGCACTACTTTAGCTAATGGGGCCTCCTGCTGCTGCCACACCGCCGGAGCACAATTTCTGTTCTCATCCTGAAGCAAAGTTCTTAACCTGAAGCACTATTTCTGGGTTAGCGGAGTCTGTAACCTGAAGCATATGTAACCTGAAGCGTATGTAACCTGAGGTACCACTGTACTTTGAAATTCTGAATTCTGGCATTCTCCAGAAAGTCTCTTGAGAAAAATGTATAAATCTAAATCAAATAAGTGTTGGAAATGTGAAAAGAAAGAAGGTTCTTTTTATCATATGTGGTGGTCTTGTAGTAAGGTTAAAGCTTACTGGGAAATGATATATTATGAAATGAAAAGGATGTTTAAAATAACCTTTGTAAAAAAAACAAAAAACAGAAGCTTTTCTTTTGGGAATTATAGGGACAGAACTACCTAAAATGTATAGAAATTTATTCATGTACAGCAGCAAGAATGTTACTCGCTTCAAAATGGAAAAAAGCAGAAATTCCAGCAACAGAAGAATGGATCAAAAAAATGTATGGAATATGCAGAAATGGAGAAACTTACCGGAAGATTAAGAAACCAAGATAACAAACTTTTTAATAAAAGAATGCAAATGATTTGTTGAATATTTACAGATAAATTCTAAACAGATAAGAACATTGGCAGGATTATTGTAAATAACCTGCAGTTTTATAAGTGTATATTTAAAGCAGATTAATAAATGACCAAATTAAGTTAATTTGGATATGCAGAAGATATTAAAAATAAATTTAAGGAACCACAGAAAGAGGGGGAAGGTAGTCAAGTTTTGAAATGTCAAAATGATTGTAAAATTAGTGAAATGTATGAACTTGAAAAGTATAAATAAATAAAAACAACAACACAGAGATAGTCTCTCGGGATTTTAGAGCTACAAATTACCTGGCCTAGTTTCCAAAGTGGAACCAGGAATGAGCTTTGTCTCTTTGTTTTAATTTCTATCAATGTGAATGTGTTCTTAGCTTTTATTCTGTTTTTGTTTTATGTAGGTTTTAATGCAGGCACAATTTTTGGTCAGTTGCTTTGGGTTCTTTTTTAATTAGAAGAAGAAGAAAATGTTTATTGAACTAATAAGTTCAGTAAATAATAACACTGCCACAACTGACAAGAAATTGATACTCAGTTTTGGATCGAACAAGGACACATTGTCTACTGGCAAGCAGGGATAGCTGTTCGCTGTGGCTACAGCTCCAACTTGGATGCGAGACGGAGGTCAAGGGAAGAGCGTTGCTGAACAAGGGAAGCAAGTATAGTCTACCCAGTAAAACACAGAGAAGGCAAGGTCACTGTGTTGGCCCCTCTTGCTGTTGGAGACATGCCAAAGCTCTTGAACAGATAGTTAAGAAAACCATTGTTTGACAAGCTTGACACAGCAAACAACCTTAAAATATGTTCTGATGGATTGTTCTGTGATTTAAAGAGCAGTTTGCTTTAGTAACTGAACGTTAGGATTTGGCTCCACCAACCCTCCTTCTTGAAAGCCAATGTAAGTATTCAAAGCCACCAATTGTATTTAAAACCCAAAGGACAAAGGATACTCCATAGTTCCATAGCTTAAACTGTGCTGGTTTTTTTCATATAGGAACTGTGTTTTTATTCTTTACAATACAGTGGACGCTCAGGTTGCGAACGTGATCCGTGCGGGATGCACGTTCGCAACCCGCATCTGCGCATCTGCACATGTGTGGGTTGTGATTTGGCGCTTCTGCGCATGCGTAAAGCACAATTTAGCGCTTCTGCGCATGCCAGTACTTCCAGGTTTCGGCTGTCCGTAACCTGAAAAAATGCAACGTAAAGCGTCTGTAACCCGAGGTATGACTGTATACTACTGTATATCTGAACCATTTCAATGGAGTCTATTCAGAGAGAACAGTTATGGGACAGCTTAGAAATACCACTATTTATTTACTGAATTTGTTCATCGCTTTATCTTGCCCCGGGCAACCCAAAGTGACCTACAACCAACCAAACAACAGCAATGTAATGATGGTGCCAGATGATCCTTCCTGGGGAGAGCATTCAACAAATGTGGAGCCACCACAGAAAAGGCCCCGTCATGTGCTGCCACCCTCTGGACCTCTTACGGAGGGGGCACAGGAAGGTGGGATTCAGATGGTGATCACAGGATCTGAAGAAGATGTGGTGTGTTGCAGTTATTATTAGTCGCATGCCTGCCTTATCCATTTCATGCAAACCACCTACTCTCAACTTTACCTCTCAGGACTCACAGCATCGCATTTTGGATGTGAATCTGAATGGACAGCTGATTTACAGCAGCAGTTCCAAAGCAAAAACAAAAACCAAGGATATCTGAAGTACTCCAGAAAGTTTCGATTAATATCAGAGTCCAGAGG